AAAAAAATACATGAAAGCCTCAAATAATAAGTAAACATCTTGTGAATTGCATGATTTTAAAAACTGCTTGAAATGTGAATAGCTCCCTATTTTTATTTTCATTAATATCTTAATTTCCTTTCTATTTTAAAGCCCAACCTGAATTCCTGAAGCGGCCTACTAATATATATGCTCATGAATCTATGGATATTGTCTTTGAATGTGAAGTGACTGGGAAACCAACGCCAACTGTGAAGTGGGTCAAGAATGGGGATATGGTTATTCCAAGTGATTACTTTAAGATTGTAGTAAGTATTTTTTTTGAAGAAGTATACTTATCTCTGAAGCCTTTAAATGTCTTTAAATGTAACTACCAAGAGATCTGTTAGTTTATGTACTGCAGATAAAGAGGAAAATTCACATAGAATGTAATCTCTTCCTTGGCTGGTGAGAATGCTGAGCCTAGAAATAATTTTGGTAGCTTATATAAAATCACATGGCAAAATGGGTTGAACTAAGCCTATAATCCAGCTTTCCTGACCTAGTACTAGAACTAGATCTGGTATTCCCACTTAAACATACTAGCACTCTTAAACACAGCTGCCAGCTGCCACCATATCTTGGGTAATGTTATCGTGTGTGTGCGTGTGCGTGTATGTGTATGTGTGTGTGTGTGTGCATGTGTACACACACACACACACCAATTGTCTTCATAGCTCTATTCAAGAAGCAGAAATTTGTCCTTCAAAATAAGTATGACCCAATGCTGGACAATTATTGTGACAATAAATACGAAGATTCTTTTAAAAAGTAAATGTAAAAGTAAGTATTAGTATTAAATGTATTTAAGAATATTCAGCCATTATAGCTTTTTACTTTATATATAGTAAATACTTAGTAAATATTATCCACTATTATTTTCATTATCTAACATCCTACTAATATAATTATCTGGGTTTTAGTAACAAGGATTAATGACAAATCTCAAGATACATGACATTTCATACATGCATATATTACATTCATAGAAGTAATCAAAAGTAATTATGGTTGTTAAAAACCTATTGTCTCATTACAAATTTCTCATATAAGTAATTCTTAGTAGTAATATTTTTCTATTTTTGAAATGCATACTCTCATTACTCTCATGTTACAAAAAGTAATTCACGAGTATTTCGTCTTAATTAAAAAACAATGCATTATGGTTAAATTAGCATTTTTACTCTTTTGCCATTATTTTTTTAAATCTTAAAACCATATTATACTATATCAATGACAATAGTTGACATTTATATAGTGTTTGATAGTTTAAGAAGAGCTTCTGTATATGCGACTTCATTTAACTTACTGTATTATAATCTATCAGAACTATTGATATTAGAAAAAATCTTTAAAAATGCCTTGAATTCATAAATTCTGACTTTCTCTATGGTAACATGGTATTGTATGCCAAATATTTTTCCAAGTAATGGTGTAAGTTTGCAAACGTTGTGGGTATGACTTTCCATGAATATTAAGTTCTTATTGTTAATGATGGTGTGTCCTGTTCTAGTCAGTGAAGTCAATTCCTTGTCAATACAATTGAGTCAACAGCTGCATAGTCAGATCATTTTCAGTAACCGAGTCATACAATTTTACATGGTTTTCCTCCCCAAAAAGAGCATTTCCTTGAGATTTTGAACTAATGTTCATCAGCTGAATCATAAAATTTTATTTATCTTTTTCTCCCTCAGAAGGAACATAATCTTCAAGTTTTGGGTCTGGTGAAATCAGATGAAGGGTTCTATCAATGCATTGCTGAGAATGATGTTGGAAATGCACAAGCTGGAGCCCAGCTGATAATACTTGAACATGGTAAGGGGCTGAGATAGTCAGATGAGAGAGGCTGACTATGTGTTTTAGGAGCTAGTACCTATCACAGCACCTGTCACTACAGGATACCTCTTCATTAATAACCTGTTTTAAGGGGCAATATATGGCACAACTAAGAGAAAAATAAAGCAGTCTAAATCATTTCTATTGTTTCAGATAACCTAAAAATACAATTTTGGATAATGTTGAAAAGAAATGGTATTAAGAAAAGAAAAACTGAACAACAGTTACAGTCTTACACAAATGAATGTTCTTCAGATTTCAATCATTTTAATCCCACAAATATATGTTTGTACTATTAAAATAGAAAAACTTTAGTGTTTATTTTGCATTGAATTTTTCTTCAGTTTTTATCAAAATACAATTAACTTATCTTTTCTGACTACCACACACACACACACACACACACACACCCATGCTTATTGTAAATTCAGACAACATTGAAAAGTAAATGCAGAATGGGACACCCTGTATGAGTCAGGGTCAGTTCTGGGGAAACCACACAGTAATTGCAGCAAACCTAAGAATTAAACATTCCTTAATATAAAAGGTTATTAACACTAATAGGGAATTAGAGTAACAAGGGGGTTGCCTAGTAAGAAATAAAGAGAACTCTAACAAATAAGACCAGCATCCACACCCCTTAGGCTGAGGAACAGTTCAGGAGAAGGAGAAGGCCCCTTTCCGGGCTCACATCAGACCAGTTTGGAGAGGGTGTGGCCATGGTTTACCAGATGACAGATAAGTTGCTTTGCTGCCCAAACTTGCTCAGAATCCGCTGTCTGGTGCTCTGGGAAAGCTGTTCACCAGGAGGTGTGTCCCTGAAGGCATTGGGCTCCAGAAGCACCTGGGGTCCAGGTACCGGGGGAGGCTGCTCTCCAGCACCCTCTGCTGGTAAAGGTTAATACACGTGGAGCTGGCAAAGGAGACATCTATAAAGGGCCCAGCTTCAGCATTGCAAAGCAGGCAGTAAGATGCAGATTGCAGCTGAGAGGCAGTAACTGCTAACGGGCACATGCTCCACAGCCTGCCACCGAGCAGTGCTGCATGTGAGCTCACACAGGTGTGTATGTGGTCTCATAACCTGTTTTCTTGTGCCAACGTGTTGTGGGCATTTTTCCATGTCAGTAAATACAGATCTGCTTAACATTTGTCATTGCTGAATAGTATATGTGCACCTTGCTTTACAGAACTGAATTCACTATTGGTTAACATTTAAATAGTGTCCTGTTATTTTACCCAAATAAACAATGCTGTGCTAAACTTCTTCATATGATTTTCTCATATTAAATTGAACTAGAAGTTGAGTTATTGGACAGCAGGTCTGTTTTAAATTGATGAGGATACCTGTTGGTACTATTTATTTGTTTTAGCAAGAAAAGCATTTTTCATTTTGTACATTTCTTAATGCATGAAAAATATGCCACTTAGGCATCTGATCTGGTGTCAGATAATTTGAGGTTCCAGTGTGATCCCAGCCATGCAGCCCAGCCAAGGAAGCTAATTGGCACAGATGGCACCCACTCTGCCTTTTCACTAAAATAGCCTGTCAGATTTTTATATGCTATTTCTTAAAAATGTATTTGCAAGTATTCTTTAAAAGGCATAAAATATTAGAATTGCTCTTTTTCTTCCTGTTTGTCTGTGATTACACCTTTTCCCATTCATTGGAGATTATTTAGTAGAAGCATGTTACTTTCCCATCTTGGCAAAATGCCTGAGTGTGATAACCAAATAAGGCACTAACAGAATTAGTGGTAGATAGGCTTATTTCTTTTATTAGTGGCAGTGATTTTCCTTAGTAAACTTCATGGCTCTCTGGGGGTTGTTTACATGGAGCTAAATAAAAGGATGTCAGTATATTTGTGTTTGGGATAACCATTATAGATTTAACTCCAACAGTATAAATGGTTGGCTATGCTAGGAGGTCCCTAAACTAATCCTAATTGTGCTATCCTCTGAAAATGCTTGGAGGGCATAATAACTATACTTGTAGTGGGTATGTTTTTCACTTCTTGAGACAGCATTTCAAAAACTGACCGTGTTTAGTGGACTGGCGACATTTTTTGGTGACTTTGTCAGGGATGCATTAAGGATGCATGGATAATAGGAAGGAAAGTAAGTGTCATGTTATTCATTTTGCTATTTATGTGGGAAAGCTAAAAGAGAAAATATAACAATTTATAAGATCTGATCTCTGCCTTTCTGAGTTTACAATATTGTAAGGGATGGAAGAGATGTGCTCAATACCAATCTATAATAGGTGTTATTTTTATAATACAAATACAGCACCATACAGTTCAGAAGAAAGAAATTCTGTCTGTGTGATCGGGGAAGTTTTTTTCATGGAAAGTGTCCCCTTTGTAATAACCCTCAAATGATAGATTCCAGATGTTAAAAGTAAGACCTGGGTCAGAATGGAAATAGAATAGAGTACCTGTTCCTGTAGGAAGGTGGCCCATAAAGGCAGAATAGGATCAGATTGATCATGGCCTTGATTATAAAGAGTCAAAGCAATACTGTAATAAGACAGTCCGATGATGAAGTCAGGTTTGATTAGAATAAGGCAGAGTGCAAGAGGCTGGTTGAAGAAATTTTGTTTTAAGAGACCATTGTGAGATAAGCACATATACTAGAGAAATAGAAAGAAAGCATCCTAATAAAGAAATGTTAGTGATTTATCTAATCCAGACTCTATCAACTGATTGGATATTAAACATTGTTATAGAGAAGTCAGAGATACTTCCAAGGTTTCATCTGAGTGACTGTAAGAATGGTGGTTTCTTTATAAAAATATAAAAGGGAGGTGAATCAAAGTGGAAGGGACTTCTACCCATATGGAAAGGGTATGCACAAAACCTCTCACCCTCATCTATAATAAAAAGGTGAATGATTACAAAATCAAAATTTCTCTAAGTCCATCAGAGACCTGAGCAAACCAACCAAGTAACATAAATTGCAAAGACTTAGACAACCCCACTTCCCCAAAGAATGGGCCATGAATTGTTTCACCTTGGACAAAGCAGGAGAGAGAGATGGCTGCCATGTGCGTAAAAGTGGGTAAGAAGAAATCAGCTACAATTTTAACTGATTGTTAAAGACTAATTATGGACCAATTTGGAATATCAGGAGGCTTCTGAGAAAAGGGGCATTCACACTTGCTTGCAAATACGTTTTCCTGGGGACCCATTGGATATTCACTATTGAGATTGGGGGTAAAGCAGAGACTCGAGAAAAGTCATCTCATTGGTGTGGAGGTGATGACCTATGACTGCTGGGAGATAGGCTCAAAGCCCCTTGCATTTACTCAGAATCCTTTAGGCCTCAAACCAGTGGGGGGTGGGCATAAAACTTTATTTCAGACATTTCTAGAGGGAGATGAGAAGAAAACGCCTCTGCTTCTGAGGGGAGGAACCCACTGGTTCCCAGGACACAGGCCAAGACCCACTGCTGCTGGGGGAAAGGTGGAACGGAAGACACTTCACCTCTGAAAGAGGTACAGAAAACTGTCTTGGGCCCCAGAAACCTACACCAGTATCTAGGGAGAGGTCTTTTACTACTGGGGGAGGAATAGGAAAATACCACTCAAAACCAATACAAATACAAAGCAGATTTGAGCTGCCATAGGAAGGAGAGCCACAGGGCCTGCCTAATACTGACGCTGGACCAGGACAACTGGAAATCCTGCCTCCTCAACCATAAGCTACCACCAAGTGACAAACAAAAACTTTATACTGCTGCGGGAAGGTCAAGAACACGGAGAAGGATCCCTCTGTAGAAGAGGAATGCAAGAATGGTTGGAAGCTGAGAGCAAACAGGAAAAGTGAGAACAAGCCTCCAGCTCCTCATTTCTCACATGAAGCACAGACAGTGGTGGTCTTCCAGTCGAGGAATTTGAAGCCTGGGGCGTGCTGAAGGTGACTGTAACAACAGTGAAATCCATACCAAGCTCAACTCCTGTCTAAATTGACTAACCCCCTCCACACTCAACAGAAGAAGAGTCATGCCAGTTTCCAAGTGTAAATAATAATTATCTCAGTTTCTACTGTTCTGTATACCATGCTCTCAGTATTCATTCAAACACTATTGGACATAAATAGAAAAAGCAAGGGAAAACCGGCCCATTGTTGAGAGAGAAAACAATCACTAGAACCCAACTCAGGAGACCCAGATATTGGAACTATCAGACAGGGACTTTAACTATTATCAGTAAGTACTATGTTAAAAGATTTAGTGGAAAAAGTAGATAACTTGAATGAACAAATGAATGAGGAATTTTGGCAGAAGGATGGAAACCATAAAGAGATTGAAAATACTTGCATTTGTCGAGAAGGTGGAAGGGTTTCACAACCAGAGGAAGGAAACTGTAAAAAATAAAAATCATGGTATCAGAGATGAAGCATTCTGTCAGGTTGATCAGTAGACTGAACACAACTGAGGAAATAGTCAATCAACTTGAAGATAGTTCAATATGAACTATTTAAACGGACATAAAAGAGAGGGGAAGAACAGCTTCTATGATGGGATTGTATCAGATGGTGTAACATAAGTAAAGTGGAGTCTCACAAGGAAAAGAAGAACAGAATAAAATAAACATTTAACTAGATAATGGCCAAAATTTTAAAATAAAAAAATGAATGAGATGATACCACAGGTGCAAGAAGCAGCTCAGACGCTCCAAGTAGGCTAAAAGCAGTAGTAGTCGTAGTAATAGCAGCAGCAGTAATAGTAGTAGTAGTAGTAGTAGCAATAATAGTAGTAAACAGCACATACACACATCATAGTTAAACTACTGAAAACCAAACATGAGGAAATCTTGAAGGCAGCCAGGAATTTTTTAAAAGACACAGAGGAACAAAAAGAAAAAATTACAGCAGACTTTTTGACAGAAATGATGGAAGCAAGCAGGCAATAGAACAATACCTTTAAAGTCTTAAAAGGGGGAGGGAAAAAAAGCCTAGCCAAATTGTATATCCAGCAAA